AGCACATTTACTAGAATACATTAATAACAAAACGAAGTAATTTTTAATAGAATCGGTATTCCTATGAATTTTATCGTTCATTTTATAATGTGGGCTATGCTAATTAAACCGAATAAAATCCCATATTGAGTGCCAAAACCTAATTTGATTCGTCTTTATCCTAGATATATTTATTTGTAAACAGCAATTAATCAGAAGGGTATCCTCACGATCATTTTTAACTTCCTTTTGTTTTGGTCTATTTTTAGTTTGTTAATTCCTCAAAATTGATAAATTTTATGCTACTTATAAACACTTATGTTCAGAAAGACGGTTTGAGCCTTGAGGAGTTCCCAGGTTCTGGAAGACAGTACCACTATTCTCCTATGATGCCAATAAACCTCTCACGTCGGCAGTTCAAGTTACTGTACAACTTAATTCCATATGATGACGACATGGAATCTTTCGAGACATCTAAGGTAAAGCTATAGTTATTTACCATTCTAAGACTAAATCTTCATCTAGTTAAGAGCAGTAATCCTTTTATAAATGCGTACTTCCGTTGGATATAAAGTTATGAGTCTTTTAATTTATCGCTTTCTAAACACAAATGATCTTAAAGAGAACAAAAAGGATAAATTATATTAAAGTCTATGAATAAATTAATCGCGCTTTGGTTATATAGAAAACTAACTTGAAGCTTAATAAATGGGGATAATAGATCTTTATTTTGGGCTTAAGAACCTAGTTACCTTCCTTCCTCAGCTTATTAAAATAGAAAGACTCTTCAACTAAAATAGCTCTGATATATGTGTTCATTGGTATAAAGGTTTTTTATCATGTTTTTTTGCTGTATATTAGAACTTAACAAGATTTCATTTAAATAGTAGCATTACGACACCAGAGTTCCAATTGTCCCGGGCTTTTGGAAACTGAGCTAAGCTTTTATTCTTGGCACACATTTTAACAGTATTTAATCGGAAGGACATCGAGAGGTAACATGATAATTAAGGAATATTTGATTAATAAACCAAAGTACAGGGAAGGTGTTGAGTCGCCTATAATTGAAAGCGATAAATCTAGTCGTTCGAAGACTCCATTAATAGATTCATGTTGGAGTACCATTCATTTCCTTTGAAGAGGCGAGTGGAAGGGATTCGTAAGTTAGTTTACCCGAAGGGGGGTGCGCCGAGGACCTATTCGCGAAAATATATAACCACAGCTCCAAGGCAACTCCTCTGCAGCCTTCCGGTGGAACCAACTTACGAATCCTTCCACTCGAATCCTTCAAACGAAATGAAAGATACTTTAACATGTATCTAGTCATTTGTTAGTCACGATTTTAATTACGGTCACTTTTTCGTAGGTCTCGGTTTGCACGAAGAATATAAATCCTAACAGACGTGCATCCGAAATTAATCAATCGGCAAGATGGGCTAATGTTTGGTCATTAAGATAATGGTCGGAAACATTTGACATGAACTAGCTAAACGACTCCATGGAACCTAAGAATTCTTAGCTTTAGATTTTATAGACGGAAGTTAGTTATAGGCTGATGAATTTTCTTTATGAGTTCGCTTGAGTTAGTCGTAAGAATTATATCCTGCTCTGATGATGTCTGAAATATGAGAGATAAAGGTAACCTTTCTACAGAATCATAGATTGCTTTAGGAGCAGCGTCAATCCTAGCATTCCAATATAGTCAATCGACAGCTGGCCAAGAGGACTTCGCCGTTGTCTCCTGGTTAGATCTACCTTCAAGTCTCTTTATCACATTTTTAATTGAAATTATAGCGTATCATCCATTAGTTTACACTAGTTTACGTTAATTTAAAAGCTCAGAGACACCTGATTCTCATCGTTGTTCGGTACTATGAAGTTCTTAATCATTTTGGTTGTCTCTTTTTATTCTTCTTGTCTTTTGCACTTCCTCAATACATTTTTTAGCATAAGACTGCATGTTATGATGAACTTACTACTTAGCCCAGTCTTATTTGCTTCTATCACTGATATTCTTCTAAAAAATTAACTTAACGTAAGTAAAAGTAAATTACGTTATTTTATTCTATGTTTCTTTAGTGTAACACATATATAAGTATTGAAATATAACCCTAATTATGTTATCTTTTATCATTTGATCTACTTTTCTCACAGGAAGTCGATGGAGATCTTCCTCCTAAAAGAAATATCCTCTGTATAAGCAATAAGGGCATTAAACCCGATCGCTTTGAGTTTTCATCCTGTTCCGTAGAAATCCTGCTTGACTTACTTGGTCTGCTCTTCCAGCATCTAATTCTCGATCCCAATAGTCACAGTGATTGTCCGACGGCCACGAGCCTCACTGACCAGGACTACAGGCATATTCAGTCTCGTTTATTCGAGACTTTAAATGTCAACCAGTTTGACTTCCTCTCCAGCAGATTGACAGAAAAACTGATGATGCATTCTCGCAACCTTTGGGCTGTTCTCTCGAGTGACGGTAATTTAAATGATTTGAAGCCCCTGGGTCAACATATTTCTGAGACTTGCGGACAAGCCCAAGCAGTATCGTCCTGTTGTTGCTCGGATACTTTGTTAGATTGGTGCCATGACCTTACCAGGCGGGCGCTCTTTCTTTTTCCAGTCGAGGCAAGGTTCGAGTTCTGGAGAGCAAGCTGTCTTGGTATTGGCAGGTTAGAAATAGAGGATGAATTCCCATTATTAATTAAGGATTAGATATCCGCTTAGTTCCCTCTGACTTTACAAACGATTTAAAACTTTATTTAATAGCATGTTGTTTATCTTGTACAATCTTTCATGAATTTCCATTTGTTTTGAGGTTGTTCGATCTTGTTTTCGCAACTTATCATATTGGTAGGAACACTTAGAGAAACACACCTAGCCCGGAGTGCATTGTATGCATGATCATTTACAAACTCAGACCGTAGACGTGGTACATTCCCAGACATATCGCCGGCATCGTCAGTGAGTCTTGCCATTCTTAGCATCATATTATAATTTATCAAAAGAGACAAGGAAAAGCAGTTGTGTCTGCCCTTCTGCCCTGGGCTATTTACATTTCCTATATCCTTTTATCACGCCTTCAATGTTACAATTTAAACCGTTCTTGCTTAGATGTAATTTTGTGTGCTCCTTTGGGCGGCATTCATGAAAACCCTTCACACTCCACGCTGTCGTTCTCACCCCTTTCACCCTTGTGCTGGGAATGTTGATCAGAATCTGCCATATTGTTACGGAGTCCTCCTTCCCTAGGTCTTATCGCAGTCTCCCTCTTACCCCTTAGGATCTGTCTGCTATCTCCCTGGTTCGAGTATTTCACTCAGCTCCTGCCACCATATCCGTGGTCCACGAAGCGTTATTACCCATCCCCTTCGTCTGTATGACTAATTAGTGTCTAAATCCTCTGAGTAAGTTTCATGGTAGAGTCTTTGCTATATGGACCACGTCTATGGTAAACACAGGCCTACTGTCAGCCAGCTAACTCCAGTCTCCGCCGCGTCTATCCTATTTCTATCCATAATACCAAGTCTATGACATGCTATGCCCCAGCCTCTTTGTGTACAAACCCACAAATATTGTGGTACTGCTTGCTTTGATTAGGTTCAATGTTGAACCACAACATTTGTGGTTCATCCAGACGAATGGGATAAGTAATAACGCCTCGTCGACCACGGATGGGGTGGCAGAAGTTGAGTGAAATACTCGAACCAGGGAGATAGCAGAAGGATCCTACGGGGCAAGAGCGAGACTTTGATAAGATTTATGGAAGGAGGACTGCGTAACAATATGGTAGGCTGCGTAACAATATGGCAGACTCTGATCAACATTGCCAGCACAAGGGTAAATGGGGTGAGAGCGACAGGGTGGAGTGTGGAGGGTTTTCATGAATGCCGCTCAAAGGAGTACACTACACTACATCGAAATATACACGTTAAAAATTGTAACAGTGAAGGCGTTATAGGAGGATATAGGAAATGTGGATAGGCCAGGGCAGAAGGGGAGATACCACAACTGCTTTGCACACGTTTGGTCAAAGGATCGGCTTTACTTGTCCCTTTGACGGGTTGTTGTGTGGTGCTAAGAATGGCGAGACACACTGACGATACCGACTACGATGCCGGCGAAACGTGTGGGAATCTACCACGTCCATTGTTCGACTTTTGGAAATGATCATGCATACAATGGACTCCGGACTAGGTGCGTTCCTCTAAGTCTTCCTACGAATATGGCCAAGTTGCGAAAACGAGGTAAAACAACCTCTATACAACGAAAGGAGACTGAAACCACATAGAAGGCCACACCATCTTGGTTCCTATACCTTCCATTTGTTTTATTTATTTGAAAAATTGCTATATAAAATAGATAATTTAATTAATTTAATATATATTTTCACTTTAACATATAAATGTTAAGGATAAAAAGGCATCAAAACTGAAGTGCAGTAATATGGACCCATAGTTTATTTTTCGATTACGCTCTATTCTTTGTTATAAAATTTATTTTTAATATTTAATCCTCAAATTTGCTTGGGTGTCTATCTTGCCTTATTCTATTTAACCAAATATATTGCTCACTCATTAATTACTTCAGTAATCTTACCTGAAACACGAATTTCGTTCGTTCATTTGTTCTCAGTTAGCCAGAAAACAGGTACTTTATCGAAGTAGTTTAAGTTTGTACATATATGCGAAAAGAGCTATGGATTACATGAGATATACATATCATGCAAAGTTGGGATTGTAGATACAAAAATAGCACCTCGATTTTTGCATGAAAAATCGTATTATTGTG